CTTCCGGGTGTTATTTCTAAATTCTTGAAAAGCTTGTTCATGTGTTTGCAGCGAGGCGAGAGTAAACACTCCTCTGTTTAGCAGACAGAAGTGAGCCTAATAAAATCGACTAGTTATGTAACGCAGGTGTAGATTTAATAATCAAAATAACAGCTGACACTTTTAAGGACCAACAGGTCATTAAAAAGATTTATGATTAAAAAAGAAAAATATTGAAAAGGTGTAACTATTACAAGGACAATCCATTATCCAAAAAGTTTTCACTTATGATCTCTAGGCTTTCTTGAAATTCAAACCTGCAGTTACATAAAATGAAAGTTATACAATACGGTAACAGCGGTCTGCCACTGACAGCTGGTATATGCATGACAAGTATCTACGAAACCACTGCCAACATCCAGGAATGTCCATTACAATGAGGAAACATTTGGCTTGATGCCAAGGAGATTTCTGATGTGGGAGGATCTGCTCCAGCTGCTTGCTTTAGAGCAAACACCTGAAACCGCACACACACTCACACACACACACGGCGAGCTGAACATAACAGGTTTGACCGCAGAACGCAAACTTTGACATCAAAAGATGTTGCTTAGCCTTGTGATCCTCTTCTTCCTCTTCTCTCCAGGTATGTGAGCTAACCTCTAAAATACTAATAAATTGTATCCAGTTTGAGAAATGATTGAAGAAATGATGCATAAAGATGACTAAATGTCAGTATAATAATAATAATAATAATAATACTTTCTATGTAGGAGGATTTACTGTAAAATGCCCAAAGAAAGAAAGACGAGCAGGCAGGTTGGGTGACTTGCTGTCAGATAACTGGAATCTATTTAAAGTCACGTTTTCAGTCTTATTATTATGTATTTTAGAACAATTTATGGACATTATTTCATTTAAAGAATTTATTTTAAAAAAAGTTTTTTTCACTGCAGACATTTCTGTCATTTTCCCATATCTGTATGACTTATTATAATGCAGTTTTTTTTTGATCATATCTGAAGTCAGTTTCCTTCCACATATAGTTCAATGTATTTTTCATTAAAGTACTGGATATTAAAATCTTTCTTGAAGATTAAAAAATACATTAAATAAAATATAAATATAGGAATAAAAAAAATCCTATTTACTCTGCAGAGATGAAGCACATATTTCTTCAGTCTAGCCGTCTGTTTTCTTTTTTTTACACATTTTATTGTTTTAAAACAAACATTTTCATATCAGTAAAGTAAATATTCCTTGTATAGCTACACCGATTAGCTACTTAGAGATTAACTCTCGAAATTTTAGAACATATGAGTCACTTTATGAAGGCTAAACTCCAGCAAATCTCTATGAGATGGGAAAATAAAATTTTTACATCATAATTAATATTCAGGCAGCTTTTGCTGAAGAATTAAATGGACCTAATCAGCTGAAAAGTGATGACCAGTTATCCAGATGTTGAAAATCCATCCGTCTCCCATCGCTCATCCGTTAGGGTCTCAGTTGGATGGTCCCTACCTCCAGCAGTCTATGGGACCCAGGACAGGTTGTCAGTCTAGCAGAGCAACAGAGACACACTCACACACCTAACAGCATATTATAGTCAACTACTAACCTAATAGTCATGTTTTAGGGCCTGAGAAAGCCTGAGAACCTGCAGAGAACCACACAGAGAGACCATTAATACTACATGCAGAAAGACCCTAGGCTGGGATCTGAACCCAGGACCTTGCTGCTTTATAAACAGTGTCACTGTGCAGCCTTACCTGGACAATCCAGAATGTCCGAGTCTCGTATTATTTTGTAATAGCAACAGGCTTTCTCATTAAAAAAAACCCAAAAACTTATATCTGGAAAAATTGTGCAAGGTCCCTTTAAACAACTTCAGGCAAGGCTGCATTAATAGAAACAAGTTAGATGAAACCAGGGAGGACTAATTATGTGTTTACAGCTTGTTACGTAATGAGTTAGGTGTGTGTTAGGAGGAGAGATGTGAAACTAGACAGGGCTAAACATCCAGTAAATGGATCACATGCAAAGCATCAAAACTACACATGCTTTCCACTATTGTCCAGTCTTTAGATTAAAAATTTAAATTATTATTTTTTTTCTTAAGGGATGGAACTTTGTAAGTTTGAACTTATTTTATTTATACAGTAGGAGTAAATTCTCATAATGATGCATGAATCTGATAACGTTACAAGCAAAGCAGATCTATGAAATGTGAAGCAAACAACACAGAAGCTCCTAATTAAACAAGCAAGCCTGACCAGTTAAGCCTTTGTTTCTCCCTTTTACAGGCACTTTTATGTAACTTAGGAGTTTAGACTTTTTTTATGATTTCAGACTCTCTGTAAACCTCACCTCCATTATCTTGTTTCAACATTTAGTCTGTGATCGAGACGACTTTCTTTTAAAAAACACAATTAGGAAAGACACAAATTTAAAAACAAACTGCATGATATTTGGCACAAATACAATTAGAGAATAAGAATATGAAAGATTTTGTTTACTCATTCATCAATGAGTAAAACCTGGGATCCCTTAAAAGTCGCTTTAAGACTCCACTAAAAATATCAGCCTTTTTCTTGTAATATTTACCATCCTGCCTGGATTAAAACCTATAACTTAATCTCTCACCTGACTATAACTAATTTCTGTGCAGTAACGTCTCTGAAGTGTTTCGTGTGCAGCTCCTCCACCACCAATGATGAATGCAACCAGAGCAGTCAGAGCTGTCAGCAGCCGCTCGACACCTGCATGACCATCGTGGACACCCTGGGTAACAAACAGCAGATCTATGCTCTCATCTTTGTTTCCTCGTTAAAGTATTACAAATATTAAAAGTATAAAAAAAAAAAATAAAAAAAAATACGATCTCTTGATCATAAGTAGCAACCCTCAAGTTTGACATTAGAAACACAGAGGTGGGTATTATTGTGAGATGAATGAAAATAATGAGCAACAATTCACAAAGTTCTAATTTAGCAGTATGCTGATATGGGGTCAAAAGAGAGAGAAGACATGCAGATAAGGTTTATGGGCCGGGGTTTGAACTCAGAAAAGCCTTTCAGAGATTGAGGCCTCTAACATTCGCTGTGCCCAGCGGTGCCATTGATTGAAAACACAAGAACCTGAGCTGAGAACCGCTGATCTGCACCCTTCTCACTCAGCTCCAGCTGTTACAGGTCATTGCTCTACCATAAGGGGAAACTTTGCAGCCTCTGCACTGAAAAAAGAATGCATCCATTTTGGCATTTACTTAATCATATTTAGTTACGTTAACACAATTGTTTTGTTGTTCCCTGCTAACATGAAACGTTTGTGTTAAAGTAACTAAATATGATTAAGTAAATGCCAAAATGGATGCAGTCTTTTTCTCAGTGTGACAGGTTTTCCTGGATACTTACCGCCATGCAATTTGGACCAGCTTCGCTGTCCCTGTTGAAGAGAACGTCCACAGCATGATGCAGCCACTAACTTGTATTAGTGTATCTATCATATATCTTTTAAGAGGGAATTGGAATTTCAACGTCCAGACAAAAGTTTTTGTTTTCACAGTTGGCTGTGCCTCTTCTCTATCTTATTGCAAACTGATACAGGAGTCCGTTTCAGTGACGCCTTTCTTTAAGCTACTATTCCAGAAAATTCCAATTTCCAGAGTTCACAATTTACCGTTGTCAGCAGAATTTCCCTCCAGAGTTATAATTTGCCATCTGGAAAGCGGTCTCAGTTTAGATAGCTGGTCTACACTTATCTTCAGATGATGGAAGGAGCAGAGCTCAGACAAATGTTCAAAGCTTGGGACACGTTTAAACCCCAAATCCTAATTTACTGTATTCCATTTTGTCCTGAACCTGCCAGCTGTGTTCCTTGTTTTTTTTTTATTCACAGAACAGCTGGATTCAAACAATGAATTTTGATGAAATCAATTGCTCAATCATCAGACAATTTTTTTAAGAAATAAATTGTTATGGTGGTGAGCTTTTATGAACTTTATTTAGAGAAAAAACAGGGGATACAAATGCACTAAAAACCCAACCTTTCTTTTCCCTCTACTTAATTTACCACTACTTTTTCAGAATTATCCAATAAAACTGTGGTTTTTGAAGGGATAACAGGAATAAATCTGCAGAGTATATGTGTATTTTTGAGCATAAGAAAGCTTGCTCTTATGGTAACAGCTGAACATGTGTGTACGTTGTCCAGGTTACATGAAAGCCATTGTGAAGCAATGCGCCAGCAGCAGCACATGCAAAGGAGCAGCCTCCACCGCCTCAATGAATGCAGATGGAAACGGAAACACCATCAACTGCTGCAACTATGACATGTGCAACTTTAGTGCAGCCGAATCCGTTCACTCACACACGCTGCTGCTGCTTTTAACTGTGGGCATCCTACTGCTGCCATCGCTCTGAGGTCCATTAGAGAAGCATAGAGCATCGCCTCTACACCAAGATAGAAAACCATGTAAATACCTGTAAATCTATTATATTATACTGAAAAGATTTATTTTGTATATAAATGCTAAGACCTATTAGAGAAAACCTTGTATATAACATGCTGCTAGTTATGAGAAAATACTCATTAAAATGGGAACATAGACATGAATAAATAACATTCATTTTTTGCAACTACAACATTTTTACATCAGGTTGCCAATAAAAACAACAAATTTCCTTTTGAACATTGTTTTATTTTTTTCCTCATATTTCACAAGATGGCCGATTCAGCCAGGAAGTCAAAATAAAAACCAGTGTTTACTATGACGGGTTCTGTACAATTCATCAGTGATACACACCAGTATAGCTCACAATATACCAACATGAGCAGAATTACGCAACAACACTGAGATAAAATAGATTGTTTTTTTTTATTGATTTCTTTTTTATAACGAGTGTGTTTTCAGTGTATTTTGGTCCACATGAGATCCAGATGTTTATCTCTTTTAATTGCTGGCTAAATATGGAGATAACATCTGGGTTTTATGTGGATTAAATCCATCAGAACTAGTGTTTTTTTTTTTTTTAGGTGCTGTGCAAATATGCTCTTCTCCTTACCAGTATATCATGCTACACCAGTACGGTGGCCAGGGTGTTTCATATAGATGTATGTCACAGCAGAACAAGTTCCAGTCCGCATTTTCTCCTGGTTTTGTTTGTTTGTTTTCTTGGAGACTGTTGCTAGGAGGGACATTTTTTTTTTTTTTAAGTGTTGCATCTGACATAAACGAGGGATTCACACAGGTTCCAGGTGTGGGTTTGGTTTTGGCCCAGCAAAGTGCAGGTGTAGTGCCTCTGAAGGGGGTTTTGGACCAGTTTTTCTGAGAGGGACAGACATATTGGGAGTAAATATCAGAGGAATAGATGCCTTACTTACATAAATAGTCCAAGTAGAAGTCCTCTTTCCTGAGTTTGAAGATACAGGAAGAAGACGGTCACTGCTAAAAACAATACAAAAAAAACATGGAGCCAGCCAGCAAAAAGAACAGACTAAACTGGGAAGCTGAATGTGTCTTGCCAGTGGTTGGGTGTTACCCTGACAGATTTGAATTCTTCACATTAAGAGTCTTTAGAACCAGCTCAGAGAGGAGCGCAGGAAGACCGGAGAGAAGCAGAGGACAGAGAGCGTTCTGCAGAAAGTCCTGAATGTTAAGATTCCCGATCCTCCCTCTGTCTCCTCTGTCATTAGAGTTCTATAAATAAAAGCTGGTGAGACAGAGGAAACACAGGAGAAGCCTAAAGGCTGCAGTTCCAGAGGAAACGCACTCTGTGCTGTAGTAACATCCGTAGAAAGCAAACGTCTGCAATGGGATCGGAACACAAAGGAATCGAGGTCTGATCTGCCAGGTTCCTGTTTCAGTTGATTGAAGAGTTCAAAACCTATGATCAACCTCAACAAAACAGACAGCTGCTGGCTGATGGTCACTTCCTCTGTTATGTTTCACAGAGATATGTTTCAGTATAATCACAGTCTAATCCACCCCCCTGATGTCAGCAGCTCTATCCATTCCCACGATAGTGTTTGATATCATAATAAGCTTTATATCTATTTAACCTTCAGATCCCGTTTAAAAATCAACTCATGTCATTCTCTCTGCCAGGGGAGCAGCCAGGCTTCTGATTCAGGTGTTTTTGCTCTGATCTTTCATTAAATAAAGTCACAGTGGTTTAAGTAAAGTTGAAGAAAGTTACTGAACCAGACTGCAGCTCACTGCTTGCTCCATTGGTGCATGAGCTGCTGAACCTGTCTCCTCTGACCACTGACACTCTTAAGGTATCCATGAGTCTTTAGATATCCGACAGAGACCCGAGAGGCACTCGGTCTCCTGTAGAGGGGGGCTAGTGGGGGCGGGAGTGGGCCATCATCCTCAGCCGCGACTGGTCGATGACGTCCAACAGGTTCTTGGCATCGACGGCGAGAGCGTGAGCCGCCGTCAGCATCTGCTTCTTGTAATCTTGCTGAAGACTAAGATTAAAAAGCAAATAAGGGTACTTTTATTATAAAATAAATATGCACGCTGCAAAAAAGAGAAACATTTTTAAATATCATATTTACATAAAATAAAGTGAGCAAAGGTTGCTTGGCTATATATTCATTTAATACATTTCTTCTATTGAGAACGAGTTAAGTGACCAAACTCTTTAAATAGGAAAAATAATCATTTTTCTTCTTCTAGCATTTCAAGCTGAAATATCTCATTAAGAAAATGTAGAAATACATTTTAAGAATAAGAACAAGTTTTATTTTCTTGCACAAAACTTGTCTTGTCTCTCAGTTTTCTTTTAAGACAAAAATAAGAAAAATATCATTAAAAAGGGCTTTCCTTTACCGTCTTGAAAATCAGGCTGGATAAACGGAGCACGTCTTAGAAGTTAGTATATAACAAGTCACAAATTTATTTATTTACTTCAGAGTTAAAAAAAATGATCATACAGCAAACCATTTCAATCAGTTAAAAGAAAAATGCAAAAATGTCCTGCATTACCATAAACTATTTCTACAGTCCACTATTAGGACAGCTCATTAGCAACATGAGCTACAGAGATGCTGATCATAGAATTATCCTCCAGATTTCAGCACCTTTCAAGGTTGACTGAGGTTCTCCCACATGGACAGTCAAGTTATGTTCTGGACAAAAAGGTCTGTGTTATCAAAAACACAAAGAATGCACAACAAGGAGGAGGGGATGCAAGGAAGATTTAAACCTAATTTACCACCTGTAATGCATTGTGGGGGCTCCATCATTCTGAGGGTTTTTCAACATGGCTCAAATGGTGGAATAAAAGAACCGGAGGAATATTACTAATGAATCGGACTCTAACCCTGTTTATCACGTCAACAATTAGAGGGGTAACAACATTTATAAACCAAATCAGATCAAAACCCAAGCAGAAATATTCTAGAAACATGCAAAAAAAAAAAAAAAAAAAAAATGGTTGTTTCTCTGCAGCTTGAATTTCACCAATTAGAAAATAAGTTCCATTTGGTTTGAAGAATATGGTGACATTTATTATCACTCCTAAAATAACAGCTCTGCAAACAGAATCTCAGAGTCTGGGGCTTTATTGGAGGCAAAGTGGTACCGAAGTGGCCAACCATTTTCATGTCTTTTGGGATTGTCCAAAAATACAACCATACTGGGGGGAAGTAACCAGTGAAATATTTAAGATTATGGGAATGAAATTGGACCATTCCTTTATTACATTGTATATATGCAAAATGCCAGAAACTGTTCCTCATAAACACAAATATCCGCTAAAGATCCTTCTGATGTGTAGAAAAAAGGCTATAAGCTGGTGATGGCTACAAACTGACTCCAACATTACACCAGTGGAGGGGGAGAGTGAAAGAAATCTAGAATATGGAGAGACCGACTTATATCTGGAGACTGGAACAGGAGAAATGTGTTGAAAGCTGGGAAAAATGGATGATTTATAGCCTGGGTGCCATTCCGAACTTAGTCCCGCCCACAAGATTTGAGGTCGGGAAGTTCAGGTCTGGCATTGCTCAATAGTAGCGGGAGTATGCTCGCACAATATCTGGCCGGCCAATCAAATAGTCAGGGCGGGCTTTATACGATGATGGACAGATGATTAACAGGAACGTAATCAACCACGTGACCAAAGCGCGCATGGGTGACAACAACAATGGCTGCCGCTGGAGAGTTGAGGTGTGTAGATTCTGCTATTAGGTCTGTTCTAGAAGATATCGACAGCAAATTAATTTTAAAAGAGGAACAGAGAAACGCGATCAAGGCATTTGTTGAAAAGAAAGATGTTTTTGGCGTCCTTCCTACGGGATTCGGCAAAAGTTTAATTTTTCAGCTGGCTCCCTTGGTCGCTTAACATACGTCACGCACTCCGTTGCTCTTATTGATTGTAGGTCTATCCAATTGAGTGCAGAGGCATTTTTTTCCTGGTTCGTTCAAAACATGCCCCATAATCACAGCTCTATGGAGCAGTATCAGACTCATATTCTGACTAGAATTGAGTAGGACTACGTCAGGCTAGATGATTTATGCTCTAAACCTGGAATAGTGACACAATAGCATAATGTAGGGAAAATAACGAGCTGTGACCCCCTGATGTTATACCCATGAAAATATTATCATTTTTTTCCTCCTTTTTCTCTCATGCTTCCCTCCTGTTCAAAATTCAATATCCAAAATAAAAAGTAAAAAAAAAACAAAGAAAATAAGTTCTGTCTGTATGTAAATGCACATTGAGTAACCTGGAATATTTCCATTTTCTTACATGCTTTTGTATTTTATAAAAAATATAGTAAAAGCTTGTCTGATCAGAAAACAGAAGTGGATCTTCTTTCCATTCATGTTTTGTTGGCCTTACCTCGTCATCACATATTGTTGGGCTAACTTCATCTTTCCAATCAGCTCTGCCAGGTCAGAGTTCAGCAGCTTCTGGGCCATCTCGATCTGTTAAAGGCAGCAGAGCGTTAAAACAAGCTACCCAAAGGTAACTTTCAGTGTGTTTGTGTTTGCACCTCTCTGTGCGTGCTGGCTGGAAGTTGAGGTAGAGTCTCGTCGACCGTGGCTAATAACGTCCTCAGAGCTAGACCCACATCCTGAACCACAGAAAACACACAGAAACTATGTAAATAATATAAACTTTTGACACTTTTGATAAAATACTGGTTGAAATTATCATAGCTCGCTGTTTGCAAAACACTGTGTTGCCAATGTAAATCTTGTAAATGTAAATACGTAGAAACTACTGGGGAATATTGAGTCACTAGACAACCCCTAGTGAAACGAAAATACTTTTAATGCATCTAAAAATATTGTGATTATTTGTCAAAACTTGACGTCTCAAGAGGAACTGACTGAAGAAGTGAAACGTGTAGACGATCATTTACCTTGACCATTGGGACATATTCTTCTGGAGGAGCCGGCTGAATCTTGCTCGACATCTCAATCACAGCTTTGACCAAACCTGTCACATTCTCATACACTTTGTCATTTGAGCGATCCAGATTGGCTGTGGGGGGAGGGCTTATCTCCTGAGGCTGCAGCTAAATGTCAAAAAGACAAACAATAATGAGCAAAGAAATGTCACCGTTATCTGAAAGAGGGTAAAATGAGGAAAAAACAAGCTGAGACACAAAACAATGGTCTCTGATGAGTTGGGATGTTTGACAGGAAAAACTGATTGTCTTCAAGGTTGAATAATAAACAGTTTCAGGTATAAAACAAAGATCTGAAGGACGCAGAGAAAGCTTACTGAAAACAGATCCCTTAATATTGCGTGAGGTAACCTGACTTCATGGATATGTTTTCTAAACTCATTTCTAAACATTACAAATATTTCAATGTAAAATTCTTATTTTTTTCCACACTTATTAGATTAGATTATTTCAGTATTTAAAATAACATTCTGTACATTTTACTGCAAAATATTAACCTCAAGACTGTTTTAACAGCATTTTTAATATGTTTGAAAAAATTTTTTAATTTTGATGTTGGTATTTTGGAAACTGCTACTTCAAGGCTTCAGCTGAACCTAAAGGGAGCAGCTTTATTTCTACATCTGGAACAGCTGGACGCGTCAAATAAAGGCCGGACAGTCCCAGAGACTAAAATGCATTTGGAGTGCCCATTTTGCCATTTTAGACTTATGCTTCAGCTCAGCACAGACTTGGCATTTTCTATAGACCAAGGACGAAGCAAATGGCTTTTCTTTTTTTTATTGAGTTGGCATTTAGAGGTTAAAATGTTAAAATCAAGGTATGTGGAATCAAACATAAAGCAGATCAATTTACCATACAGCCCTCTGAAAGTTAATGCCCTGATTCATTAATATTAAAAGTACATCTTTCTGGAAGGTAAAGATTAAAACAAGTATCATATGTTACCGTGCCTATTAAGATTTGAAAAACAATTAAAACGACAAACTTTGACACTCTTTAAGACGTTGAAATAAAACCCTGCACAAAGATTTGTTCTACTCATAACATTAAAAACCAAACAATATATTGTTTGCAGCCTTGTTACTGTGAGCAGCTTCTATTCAGACATTAGTTAGAGCACAGGCTGCATTGCACCATTTATGAGACACAGAGGTGGCAGTAAATCATAGTTTAAGTAATATTCTTAAAAAACAGTTGTTAAAAATGTAAATATTAATAGTAATCAAAGAACAATATAAATATTTAAAACTTTTAATCTTCAGTGAGGGCTAAATTGTTGTAGGTTAAAAAAAATCCTATAATGTAAAAAGTTAGGTACAACAAAACTCTTTTAATAATCTTATTGTTTTTAGCATCCAAAAAGATATAGAATAAATCAGATCCCTAAATAATTAACAAACAGGATGCCGTTCTTTTATTTAGGCAAAAATGAATAAATCAGACTACTTCATTCTATCATATTATGGAAAACAACACAACTATTGGCGTAGTAGGTAAAAATGTTCTATTTGTGGGGATCCATTTGGTCTATTAGATGTTTAGGGCTCACTTTTAGATTTTGGACACCTCTGCTGTATGGTCTCAGACACACGACAGCCACTAGATGGCAGTATCACATTAGGTTTGCATCCTGAAATTGAATCGAAATCCCTGCAGCTTTAAAACTGTTGGTTTGCAGATAATGCAGTTCTTCTGGTTTTTACTGACTACCTGTAATTACAAACATTTAGTTAAAGTTTTTCCTGCTGTTTAAGCGTCTTTCAGAGTTAATCCTCATTTTACATTTTCATGCTTTTACACTTTTTCAGTGTTTACTTCACAACTTTTTGGCTGTGAAATGAAGTGAAGAAAGTGTTTTTGAAAAAACTGGTCTTTTTATGAGAGATTCCCCGCTGAAAAAAAAACTCATGAATGCAAGGGTTTGTCTTACAAGAAAGAAAAAGGCAATAAGAAGAGAGCTCTTTTTCAACACACTCTGGCCAAAGAAGCATTTTAACTAAGGATTGATTAGTTCAGATTCACGGACATGAAGGTTAGTTTAGGGAGTAAATGAAACAGCAGCAAAAATTACACTAAAAACTAGATCCCATTACAGCAAGTAATGGAATCCATGTGCTATTTGTTAATAATCCAGGATGTGACTGAATGGACAGAGAAGAGAGACAAGACATACAATAAACAAACACAGAGCGTGCGCTGCTTACCCGCCAAGGCTAGGGGTCAACAGTAAGGAGGAGTGCAGGAGGAGGAGAGGGAAGGGAGAGACGGAGCAGCCAAAGATAAGATAAAAAAAAAGGAAAACATTAACAGTAGTCAGCATTAAAAACATGCAATGTGTATATTTGGTAGGTTTGTTTTCATCTTGCATGTGTGCATGCTGCTGTGGTCATACAAGAGAAGGAACGTCATGCATTTCTGTTTTATTTCTGCACCTTGACGCCATCATTGTAGCTGTCTCCAGTGTTTAGACAAGCCAGACTACCCAGCTGGCTCTGGGCCCCTGGTCGAGGAGGCTTTTTGGGGGGGACCACATGCTCTGCCAAGACAAACAAATAAAGTTCATCAGAAGTTTGAACACAAAATTTAAATCTAGGAGCTAACAAAAGAGAGCTATAGCTTAAACTCAGCGAGCAGTTAAATAACGGGCACTGTTCAGAGACAGATCTGAGCATATGAAGTCACAGAACTCTGCCGTGCAAAAATATTTACACCCCGAGTCTTACTGCAATATTTCATTTTACAATGACAAACATTGATGCTTTTTGTTAGTATTTATTTTTTTATCAGAAAAGAAAGTAATTTACTGAAGACAGAAAAAAAATAAAAAGTGTGTTGTGCATTTGTATTAAGCTCCCCTGCATTAACACTCTGTGGAACAACCTTTCATTGGAGGCAATTAGCCCGGCGTCTGTGAGGATCATTGTTTCCACAGCCACATGTTCTGAACGGGTTTTGACCCAGGCCTCACAGGGGGTTCTGGCTGGACTGCACCATGACAGGTTTGATCCACCTTTCCATCAACTTCGTCCTGCTTTCCTCTCCCCCCCCAAAAAAAAATAAATAAAGCTTCCACACAAAATGATGTTTTTGTGGATATTCAGAAGCATTTAGCATCCAGCTTAACTCAGACAACAATGAAACCTCCACGTAAGGTGAATAAAGAACAAACTTGTCAAGTACAAGTGTGAGCTACAGGAAGAGGCAGAAGAGTGCTGCAGTTCTGTGTTTTGGCCACAGATGGCGGAATCATTAGAAAACTCTGTAAGGCCTCTGTAAGCAGCAGAAAAATTAATATTTTACTCAAAAGTGACTCTCACCTAAGCGGGAGACTCTGCAGCTCCTCACATGTATTTATAAAACATATAAAAACAATGCATCTCTTTTGTTCTCGGAGAGTGACTACAGACCAACTGTGACTCTTCAACCACTCCACAGTGGCCCCTGGAAATTAACTTAAAGGTACAATGAAGTTTAGTTTCAACTGACAGAACCTAGCCTACTTTTTTCCTTTCATTCAGACCATTAATATTTTCCACTGATGACTATCTGCATTACATTGCTTGTTAGAATAACGACTGGATTTCACTGAAAAGACTGAAACTGACATCTTGAAGTCATGGTGTATTTTTCCAGTCCTAAAAAAAAATATTCTAAATAGCACACATTAATAAACTCTAGTAATCTTTATTATTCCCTTAAGGATCAATGGCAGAGTTTTTTATTGGGGCAGATCAATCTGCTGTTAGGGGTGGTAAAAAACTGATGGGCACCAAAGTCAGTTCCAGGTCAATCTACAACACTGATTCCCAAATATTGACAAAGCATATTTGTGTGTTGAAAGATATAAAAGCATTCAATAGAACCAAATACATTGTTGGTGCCGTTTCTATTACTATTATACCTATGGTTGATATAGTTTATTAAAATACTTGTATTAGAACCAATATTTTGGGTCAAGCATCCATTCTAGTTTTATTGTGTGTTTTGGAAGCCAAATAGTTCGGCACTAATAGGGAAATAAAAGAGCACAACATCTGCAGTACAGTAGTAATAATCTAATCACCTGTAAATACATTTATTAATAATAATAATTGTTCTAGAGTTGTTCTGTATCTTGAACTCCATTGAAGAATCCTAGATGACTTGCTGTGTTATAACTTTTCCCTTCTCCTCCAAAATAAACAACTGCCTCTAAAAACAGCATTAATTCTGTATTTGTAATATTTAATGTTAGTATAGGCCTATTAATCTTAATTATTAATTGTTGTATTTTTGTTTTGAGCCTATCATTCATACACTAACAAATTGTCAAATTAGTTAAGATATTCCACTTAAGAGCATCACTGCTGCCCCATCTGATTTAGATGGGAACTGTTTTCCAAAGTTGATGTATTATGTCCATATGGGAATAACAATTCACCAGGTAGGGGTGGCCACTGATTAGCCAGCCACCCCCTCGCTCCTCTAACAATGAGCCTCAAATACGCTTCGCATCTAATTCATTCATTTAGCAGAGCAAGGAACACCATGGCTCTTTAGATTGTAATGGTTGCTGACCCCTGATCAGTTTGTTGTGGTAATGTGAAAAAAGCAACATTTTTAGTGGGGCTCCATATGGTTGGAGCTGGAGGAGAAAATTTGAACAATAGTGGTTAACTGAATTAAAGAAGCTTCCCCATTACCTGATTTGCCAACAGGCTGGTAAATGTGCTGGTTTCCTGTCTGCAAAACAAACAACACATCGGGTTAGCTCATGGACTGTCACAGACATAATAAGAGGCTCTGCAGGAAATTAAAAAAGCACTGGCCAAAACCAGCAACGTCTGAAGGAGCAGAGAATCCAGTTTCATGTTCATCACATTCAATGAGACTCAACTTTGGTGATTTACAATTCAGATACAGCAAAAAGTGAGCACTTTCCTAAAACTAAAACATTAAAATTAAAACCATTTAAGATGCTATTGTTTTTGAATTTGGTAGCTTTGTTTTCCCGGAATGAGAAATTAGAGCTTCTAAAGTTCTGGTGCCAACAGAAAGCTGAGGTTCAACAAACACCAACACCCAAAAATACTACGCCACGGGCAATTTACACAGACGCACAAAAAAAAGAAAAAGAAAAAAAAAACAGGGAGGTTTTCCCACCACAAGCCACAATCATTCAATGGGAGGAGGAGGAGGACAAGCAGAGAGAAATATCATTAGGCTGCTCTATGACAACTTCTGCTGGGAACGAACACAGAAAGCACAGCTGGGTTCAGCTCTGCTCGTCAAAAATCCGGCAAACAGAACAAAGAGACGTTAACTGGACACGGATCAAATGTTAAGACGGGTTTTAGAAACCAAACTACAAACAGGAGCAGAGAGGAAGGATTTTAGCTGTATTATCAGAGAGGCACCACCAGCTTATCAATAGTCTATTGAATTAAACCCGTCCTCTGTCATTTGCTTTGATTCATTTCCTTTAACTCACCTAAATGACAGCATTTAACTACCTTCAGAAACAAGATCAGAGTCTCAAAATTCTCAGAAGAATTTAAAAGAGTCAATATAATTATGAATTTACCATATGTTGTTTCTAAAAGTTTGTAACTTTCTTACTGTCATTAACAAAGTCCATCGGAGTTTAAATTAATTTCTCATTTAAAAGCTCTGCATCTTCCAGACAGTTTGGGACATTTTTTACTTAATAGCATTTACCCTCCTTTAACTTTTTACCTATATGTTCCTAAAGAAATGAAAAGACTACAAAAAACCTCTTAATATGTAACCATTGCTAACAGATCGCTATGGCCAAAGTATTTGCTCTAAAGATACTCTGACAATCTGAGGTTTGCATTTTAACTCAAACCTTCAGCCTGAGAAATGGCAGCATAACCCATGCAGATAGAGAGAGAGAAAGCAGAGCTCTTTTCCTGTTAACCCTTCTATTAATATCTAGTGATGCTGTGAGAACACATTGACCCTGCATTGCTGACCCTCCCCCGTGAGGTCACTTCCTGCTCCTGGATCGATCCCCTCAGCTCAATTCAAAACCAACACTCAGCAGCAGACTCCAATCCTGAGAAGGTGTTACTTTAATTACCATTTGTTTATAAATCATAGCTTAGAAAGGGACACTTAAATGGTTTAGATGATCAGCATATATGAGGCGGATCAGACTCAGCAGACTAACAACAAATGAGAGCAGCCTAGATAGAAACAAATGGAAATAAAGAGAGCTAGAAGTTACTCACTGGTGGCTGGAGTCCACTTTCTTCTGTTTCCAAGCTTCCTCTAGAGCTCCTTGGGTCTGGTTTCTAAAACAGACCAAGTCATCAGAAACTTTAGGTCTCTTTTTATCAACAATAGTTAAATCTAAAGTTTCAACAACACAGCTTTCAACATCATTAATGTTAAAAAGTTAAATTAAGTTGTTTCTTTTTTTTGGATGAGCAGCGAGTCACATTGCTCTGGTGCTTGGGACTCAAACTAAAAACCGTTTTTATTCTTGGAATATGCCCTGAGAGGAATCCACATAACGACCCCGCTATCAGCTTAGGATCCAGCATGACAACCTTCAGCACACAAAAGCTCAAATGAAAACGAAACCATTATGCAGAGAGCAACAGAATCTAAGAAGGTTCAAGATGCTCAGATAAAAATTAAACCCCCAAACCCTCCCATCCGCTATCTTCTCACATGTACGTCTTTGCATACCAGCTTTCCAAGACAGGACTTGAAGACCAGCATTGCCCTGAAGTTCATTAAAAGTTTCCAGATGAATCGATTGGGTCCGGATGATCAGATCGCTTTGCTTCTGTCCTTATCTTATAATTTCACAGAATTGGTCTTAAAGTGTCCATTTTCCTTTCCGTTCCTGCAGCTTTGTCTGATTCAGCTTCTGCTTTCTGCCTAAAACACACTTCTGCATGACTCCAAGACAGGGAAAGAAGGAGGGAAAGAACCAGGAGGAGGGTATCTGCTGCCAACCGCAGTTCTCCCTCTCTCCTCCCCTCTCACTCATAACAGCGTTATAAAAACAGGCCAGTCAACGGAAAAAAGAAAAAAAAAAAAACTTTCTCATCTGCACGCTCCCCCTACACACACACACACACACACACAATCTGATGCCTCCTCAGCTTTTCAGTAATCTTCTGTGTTGTCGGTTTGTGGTTGTGGGTCAAAGACAGACTGTTGACTGGCCTGTCAGAGTCGGTAAGCCTATCATTAAGCCAGGAATTCACACAGGCCACACCTGCCTCCAAACTCTCTCACAAACAATAAAATACTTATGGAAAAAAAAAAAAAAAAACCCGACAGCTACTTCTATCCACAGAAATATGCATGAAACATCCTTCCTCCCACCAACCTCGTCTTTCCGCTCAAGTCTATCCTAATTACTAACACCTCTCTGTGCATTCAGTTTTATATATAAAAAAAACACATTATTCTACTAGTTATGTTTTATTGTGAAACAAAAAAAATCCCATTGATCAAAATGTTTCAGAGCAAGATGTAACATCTGCCAGTTAGACTGTAATACATTTGTGTTGATCAATAAACGCTTCAGTGAGGCTACAGTTAAAAGATGAATACGAAACAAGGAAGCTGGCAAAGGCAGGATGGGAAATAAAACTTAGAGAGCAATGAATGTTAATCTATGATGGAGCTTAATGTTATAGGAGGTCTGTGCTGTGAAGCCAGGAAACATTTTGGCGACACTTTAGTCCTCTGACATAACTGCAGCCTGAAAACCTCCAAGTAAAATCAAGCTACATCCAGCCCTTTGACTTCCTACAACTGAGCCTTTGAAAGCCCCCCTGTTGCTTCTGTATTAAGGCTGCTACATTAGCTCTCTGATGCATGTATCACTGTTAGCTCAGGCTAAAAAAAGAAACTGATAGAGAGGGATGAGTTTGACTCTCTAAAAACATTTGATCATCATCAGTGTAGAAATGACAGAAATGCCATATAATGACATTAGAGGATTCTGCACCAATAGGACTAGTAGGCTTAAGCCATGTTAGGTGGAGCTCAGCAATTTCCAAATACTAGTAGCTTCCTTAGAGAGTTTAGAAAATGACTTTTTTAAGCAGATGAGGATGAGCATCAAGCTTTTCAGCTTTGGTGCCAACTTAAGGGTATATAAGAGGATTTTTCGCAAATTTTTGAAAAGACCTGCCCTCTCAGATGGGGCATGGAGGTTAAAGATTTAAGTCTGAAATGTGAAGTTAAATGTATGGTTTGCATTAATTAGTAACGGACTTGGCAACTGGCTGGAAGGGAGTGGGTAACTGCAGCCTTGATAAGTTAAACTTGTAGTTATCATCTATAAACATCCATTGACTAAAGTCAAGGGTGAAGCTGCTTAACTTATAAACTGAGCGTAAACCTAAACAGATAAAGTATCAATGCTCTACATCGGAGATCTTCAACAGGGGGTCCACGGAGGTACTGCATGGGGGTCGCAAAAGTTTTGGTTGATTTTTTATATATATTTTCCCCTGCAATTTTTTTCACTAATTGAAATGTCTTTAAATCCACATTGACATGAATTCAACACACTGTAGTAAACAGATAAATGGAAGCGGAAGATGTCTTTCAGTCATCAATGCTCACATTCGCTGACACACAGGAGCTCTTTCAATATGGGCACCTTTTCATTCACAACACCTGTCCCATCAACTAGGAATCAGAATCGGAAATACTTTAATAATCCCAGGGGGAAATTACTTTGTTACATTACTCCATCTGTAATAGAGTGACTATAGGGCCAGTTTGATATAACACAATTTCATGCAATATATATAATCAGGGGGTCGCCGCTTCATCTCAGTATCAGTTCGGGGGTCCTTGGCCAGGAAAATGTTGAAGACACCTGCTCTACGTATCAAACAAGATCCTGGTTTTGCTACTTTAACATAAACTCAAGCAGTATTTCTACATGATCTGTCAAAGCCAAATATCTGAAATTGTTTTAATCTGTGTGGCACAGGATCTGCTGAGGCATTACAGGGCAGGATAACTCACAACACAGGTGTTTCTGAGTGAGTTTTCAGCACAGAGACCATTTTTTTAATGATTACATAAAAGAACTCACATGAAAATGTAAAATAAATAAATAAAAGAAACAAAAAACTGCAGCTTCACTTTAAAATAGCACCCCATAGACCCAGTTTACACAGTTAATCAGCAAAAAAAAGATGAGGGGGAAACACCTTCTTAGTCGTTGTCACCTTTCACCATGCCTCATATACTGCTGAAAAATGATGTCTGTTAAATCCCCAAATCTGTATTTCATGGTAACAGCTAAAAGGCACATTACATGATCATTATGGAAATCTAAATAATTTATTTAGGACTTCCTTTATTCTTATTATTCGTTTCCATTCCTGCAAAAGAAAATCCCCAGTCGTGCTTATATTAGTGCAAATTCTAAGGTCACCCTTTAAAGAAAATAAATGATCCAATCCCTATTAAAACATACCCATAAACATTTTTTTGTCAAATGTATTACTCATTACATGTGTAATAAAGTGACACACTGAAAACTAAATCAACTGTTACAAAAGTATGACAACATGCAGAAAGCAACTTAAAAAAGGAGGATGACGTCTTTGAGAAATGTGGCATGCAGGAGATTCCAGAAATAAACGGAGCACATCAGAGATGATAAATGGGATGTTGTGACTTGCATGGTTGATTAAAATCGCTAACCTTGCAGATAAACTGAGTCATCTTTTGAACATGTCGGTTATACAGGAATAAAACCTAAGTTATAACTTTATTTCAGCCATCTAATTTTCTTCATATACTTAAGAGACTTGTTGCTTGCTTTGACATCATGTCTTTAAAGTCAGAAACTCAGCTCCACCTCAGTTTTTAGTTTTAAACGCCTCTTTTGAGGTTGTTTCCTGCGCTTACTAAAATGTACTCCAGTTTAACCTAATTACCATGGATGAGATATCCTATAATTTACTATAATAGGATATGACTGAACCATGGGCTGTCAACATGACAAATATAAAAAATATCACTTCAAGACAGCATTTTGGTACAAACCAAGCAGCACATAGACTTATGTCCAAAAAAGATTTTTTATTTTATTGCTATGGTCTGATTATGCTAATCAGACATATGGTTAGACTAATTGGGGACTTTCAAGTATGACTACAAAATGTTCTCAGCTTAGTAAGAAGATCATCAATCATATAAAAGTAGGTCTGGTTAAGCTAAAGTAAAACTTTCAGATCAAAATAAGCTGTAACAACTATCTAGCATGGCGATGGCAGCATCATGCTGTTCGGCTGTTTTCCACTGGTGCTGCTAGTGCATTACACATGAGGAAGGAATGACTAAATTGTTCAGTTTGTTTCAAATCAATAGATGGATTGAACAGGAACACAACTAGGAATATGAACAACAACAATAAAGCTGCTTTCTGAATGAATATTACATTTCTGACTCAAAAACAGAATCTGTGAAAGCTTATCATTTCTTCTCAAATGACCTTTATTCTGTCCGTGAGTGAAAGATGTATGCTAAAAACCTAAATCAGGACGGTTGGTGACCATTGCGCCTCGTATAATTGTGAAGCTCTTGTGTTAAACGTGTCAGGTGGGCCCCTGGTGCATGTTCCACAGTGTGCCGAGTGTTTTACCAGCAGCCTCTCCTCCTCTTCCAGCCACCTCTGATCCTCCTCCATCTGCTGCTGCTGTATCATCAGCTGCTCCTCCATTAACAGGCACTGCTGGCCTACACACTGCTGCATGTCTATTGCCCTGTCCTACACACACACACAAATACACAAAATGTGCAACAAACGACAAGCATGCATAGCCACAAAGTGTAAACGAAAAAAAAAAACATGCATTCACCCGACAACAACAACGCATACAGACAGATAGAAAAAAGATTTATGAGAAACTGAGCTGGGATGATGGATGGACACACATAAAAAAATAAGAAAGAAAATATGGATGGGAACAGGGCGGTGATTTGTAGCAGAATATACATTTGTAATCTGGAACACCAATCTGGTTCTTTGTGGTGTACGGGCAGCAATTTTTCATCAGGAAAAGGGTCAGTTTTATAATTCGTTTCCCATTTCCCCCAATCAGACAGATTTATGATTAACCTATTGGGATTACTGTAACGTTAAGACTTCTTACCTCCACTACCGAGCCCCCAAGTGCCATGGACAACCCATGCTGCTGAGGAAGCAACTGTGCGTGTGAGTGTGTGTGGACGTGGTGGCGAGGGTGTGTGTGTGCGTGGTGTGTGTCCACCATAGCGGCCTGTGGAGGGTACAGGGCGCTGGGAACAGAGGGGAGGGTGTGTGGGCCTGGATATGCTGCCATCTAACACCAGGAGGGAGAAAATAAAAAACAGATTATTTGGTTTCAGCTCTATCTAAAAAAAAAAGAAAAAAAGGAAAGAAAAATCACACACTTCAGACAAGTAAAGGAGTCAAAGCTGTCTACGCACCTGATAGTGTCCAGGGTGCTGTGGACTGGGGTAGAAACCTTCACTGGAGCGGGGACTGGGGTAGCCTGGTCTACTTGGCTAAGAGACAGAAAGGGGGGAAAAAACAATACTCATTTTAAAAAGGGTAGAAAAAGTAATGTCAGAAAGGGTGTAACCCTGGAACGGGTTAATTCCTGAAATTAGAAGTTAGACCATTCAGAAAACCGACACACAAACCCCCAGCAGATGTTTGTGTGGTCATGTTAGCCGTCAGTCAAAACAGGGAGCACCCACAAGGCTGCAAATCCAGCAAGCTGTTAGTGAGACGGTCATAAAACACTGTTCCTGTGTTAACAAATAAAAACACTAGTGTTAGGTTATTGGATTAAAATAAGAGGTCTGGGGATTGGCTGGTTGTTTTAGATTTAGGTTAGATGTGATGCAGGTGTGTCGCTGTTCACCAAAGACCTCTCAAGGCAGAATGATAGAATGCGTTAAAAAACAATGGCTTTAATACAACTGATAAAAAGCAATAAAAAAATAAAATCTGTGGATGCTTTTTATGTTTCTAGCAGACAAGACGTCCAAGACTTTAGTTTATACAACTGCAGAACATTCAGCTAAAAACAGAAGTGCTTGGTGAACCCATAATGTTCAGTTATTTTAGCTGGTTTGAGATGAAGCTGAGGTTTCTTTTCTCATGTTACCAGAAGGTTTTATCTTTCTTACACAGAAACTGAGCTCATTTCTAACACATCAGTGTTGCAGCCTCTACCTTCCACAGCCTCTCACAGTAGCTGTTTCTGGACCACACCTCCGACAGCGAGACAGACACAAAGACACACAGGAAGGGTGACGTAGATAGCAATGCAAAACAAGGACAGAAGAACGGAGAAACAAAGTTGGGGTACAGAGGAAGTAGACACCAAGACACTGAAAAAAAGACATAATGAGGCCTCCTGAAGCAGAGGATGTAGTTGGGACTTTTTCTAAGTCCCGACCACAACCTTTAATATGTCTTTCTTAGGATAATATCAAATAGACCAACTCAAAGCAGAGCCTAATTGTTAAGAGAAAATAAAATAAAGCATTGGTAATAAATCGATTATAAATAATCAAAAGAATCAAGCTGTGCATCTGTATTCAGCCCCATAAAAAAAAAATACTTCTTATGCACTGCAAAAACGATCTAGAAATAAGTAGAGGTTTCTTAAATTAAGTGTATTTCCCCTTAATTTGATTTTGTAAGTTATGTGATTTGCCATGGAAAGGAGAAATTTTACTCATATATAAAATAACATAATAAGATAATATGCACTTGAAAAAAAGAAAATTCAAATGTTTTCTTCTTATTTTAATTGTAAATTGTCTTGATCCATTGGCAAAGTGTCTCTCTTACCTCCTTAACTCAAGAAGAGAAGCACTTATGTTAAAAAAAAAAATTACTTATTTAGATATTAATTTTCTGCAGTGTGTAATTACAACTGCTATTTTTTTTACAGTATGACAATTGAAGTTTTACACCTCTTGAGCCAATTGGTGTAGACAAACCAGTCAGGCTCCTTCTCTAAACTATACTCTCCTTCCCGCTCCTCCTGTATGAAAAGCCTAGTCTTGACTGATATTGCTTCCAACTCCAACCTCTCTGCTTCTCAACATACTTCTCTCTGACCAATCTACTGTTCCTGGTCTTCATTAGAGTCTTTTTTCATTACTGTTTTCTAACAAACGTCTCACAGACACACATTCTGCAGACGACTGGATGCTTTTTATGCCGTCAGCATTAAAGGAGCAGCATGTGCACATGATAAAGGAATTCATTTGTAAGAAATGTTTAAATCCTCTTCTTCACTTTCTAATTATGTGCTACTTTATGTTGAACTTCAGGATTTAAATATTAAAACTGTGTGCTTGTAAAGGGAAAAAAATACAAAGTTAAGGGGTGTGAATAATTTTCAAAAGAATTTTATATATATGATAAAGTAGATTGATCGTAGCAGAGGTCTTTGATCTCCATCATACTTTCATTTGTTAGATATTATTGTTAAATATTAGATTAATTTGTTAGATATTAGATATAATTTCATTTGATAGATTATATGTAGGAGAAGGTCAGAGCATTTTACTAAAGTGCATCAGAGTAAAGGAGGAGGAATGCAAAACCAAACCTAATTTATAAGGTTTTTATGCACAAATATTTTTGAATAGTATATTTGATTACTCTCCCATTACACGCACATATTGTAACTTTGAAATTGGCTATCCCATTAAATGATAACATAAGTTCAACTGTGTGGATTTAATGTCTCAAAATCTGTAAAATAGCTTCATATTTTAAGACCTGACTTATTTGTCAGTGTTATTTCTCAGGGAGGCAGCTTAGACAATAAAGACAAACAGGGTGACCAAAGCCAGTCTGAACTCACATCAGAGGGATACATAAAAAATTCTAATAATTTAGGATCCATTTAACTTCAGCTCTAGGATTGCCTAAGCTGCAACACTAAAAACATAAGTAACAGCAACAGCTTTGAACTGTTGGACATTCACAGCTGCCTCCGTCTGCTTCTTCTTTGCTTGCAACCAGCAGCAGTTTTCAGCAATAAGTCAACGAAAGTACAGTGAAATAAATCTGTCTGGGAATTTTAAGTTTGTGCGTGTAAAAGAAAAGAAAACATTTGAAAATGTTGAAGATAAATCCTAACAGACCATTGAAAAATTCAACACAGCATAAAAACATGCATAAATTTGCCTCATGGGCTTTGCAGAATGAAGTGATTTAAAAGCAGCATGGTCTTAAAGGCTGCTAAGTTGGATTCCTGTGTTTTATGAACCTTTCATTGCACCAAACATGCCCTAAAACCGGCACATGGTTGTGTAACTCTTTACAAATCTTTTAGGAATGCTGAGAAGCAGAAGTGTAATTAAGGTTTTGTTTTACTTCATGCATCTCTCAAGGGGACAGCTAGTCGACTTCAACACAGACACATCCATCACCGCCAAGAGCAACAGAGAGCCAGGCAAACATGCACTAGGAGCTCTAAAACAAGGACCCATCATGGCCGGTTTGAGCTGGAGAAGGCTGTGATGGCTTCCACTTTAAGCCAAGCAGAAGCCTAACAGAAAACAACTCATATTGTTTTTCTTTTCCCTCAGCCATCTTGGAAAAACAATCACTTTCCTGGTAAATCTATATCATACCAGTTTAACTCAGCTGATTTGTGCTTGGATGTTTCATGTGTGTTAAATAAGCACAGCGGATTTAGGGTTCATCACAAGCATCCTCAACAAGCCAGAAATAGGCCACAGCAATCTGACCAAGAATCTGACACAGATATAAATATGGATCACAATGGACAGATCATTTTAGCTGCATGTGTCTGATAAATAAGGAGTAAAACAAAAACAAAAAAAAACAGGTGGAGAGGACTTAGCTGGTTGGTTAATGAGGAGAAAACACATCGTTGTTGATGAGGCTGATTATACAAAATCAACAATGAGCCACAAAGCGCTGCAGCCTTTTTCCATTTCGAGACTTGAATTGTAGCATTAAAATAATCTCATAAGTCAGGAAATAAAGCTTACAGTGTCTTATGTTATAATTATTGTAATTATTGCTGGTGAGCAGGTTTGGTATGGAGAACCAACTCTGCCATATCTAAAAATAAATACAAAAATAAATAAATGCTCAATAAGTAAATAACCATACAATTAATTGCCCCAAAAAATACAATAAACAAATGTAGGTAGAAATTAAATTATACAGAGACAAATGTATATATCTCTTTTAATTAGCTTTATTTATTCGCCTTTGTAATAATTACCTTATTTATTTATTGTCCGTTATAAGCTCCAACTTTATTTATTACTTATTTTTTAAGTATTAATTTCACATGCATGTGATAATATTTTTGTCCGTTTTATTTTTCCTTTGTATTTTTTTACCCTATTTATCTCTTCAACGCTATTTATTTCTGCCTGTTGTTTTTAACTTTTCTGTATGCATTTCTGCCTCATTATGCAAATTAGGAAGGGATGCGTCTTAGAGGTTCAACTTCCTTCAATAAATAAATAAGGTAATTATTACAAAGGCGAATAAATAAAGAAGCTAATTAAAAGAGATTCATACATTTGTCTCACTGTATAATTAAATTTCTACCTATATTAATTTGTTTATTAAATTTTTAGGGGCAATTAATTGTATGCTTATTTATTTATTGAGCATTTATTTATTTTTGCATTTGTTTTTAGATATGGCAGAATTGGTCCTCCATACATTGGAGTCAAATAGGAAACAATGAATTTTATAGATAAATAGAAATAAAGAAGTAAAATTTAAAGAAAGACAAATACTTTCTTTATCATTTTTTTTTTTTAAAGAGTTTGTCCCAAGTGATCTCTTTTCAGGAAAAAGAACCGGAGAAAAAGCTTCAAGGTGCATACATAGAGAGCTAATCTTAAACAATTTCTAAAATTGATATAAACCTAGTAGAGTTTCCAAAATCTACAAACGGACAACTAGTTATTCAGTACTTTATGTCTGGTAGTGTTTTTTTTTTGTTTCCAATTTGTCACCTTAAATATTACTAAGTGACACAATCATAAATTGTAAAATGGAATAAATGTCTCTTTTAGATATTTTTCAAACTCAAAAACACACATGGATTGGTTTTGTTATTTAAAAAACTCTCTAGTTGACCTAAAAAGCTCACCACCTGCCTGAAATGGTCTGGGAAAAGCTCCTTTAGAAGACGGGATAGCTAACAGCATGTGGGGGGCAACAGGGAAGCTGGACGTTGGACTGGGAGAGCAAGGGCTGGTGGATGATAGATAACAGGACACTGGGAAGACATTCTCAGTGTGGGAAGGGATGAGCTGGGAGCTCCAACCTGACTGCACAGCAGTGTACCCTGTCTGGGGGTCAGTGATGCTAGGATTAGTCTGGGATTCAGGGTCAAAGCTGGGGAACGGCAAAGCTTCAGGACTAGACGGGGAGCTGTGGTGCAGCCAGTCAAAAGTTGGATTGGAGTGGGAAAGTACTGGACGCCAAGGAGAGGAGTGGTTGCTGTTAGTTGGGGCATTCTTCTGGAGGCTCTCAGTGGATGGGATCCATGAGTGTGTGTCAGGTGAAAGGCAGACATCAGCATTGGTTTGGGGAAACCATAAAGGAGAAACATTCAATTCAGCTTTTAACTTTTCCTTAGACAAAGAGCTTTTATAGTGAAGTAGAGACGAGTCAGGCCCTAAGCTGGTAGAAGAGAAAAAGTGATGAGGAAACGTCAAAGGTAGTGAGGAGAGAGGAGGAGCAGGTGGGTGTGAGGAAGAGGAGGGAGATGATGGATGAGGGTTTCCAATGCAGAGGGAAAGCTGTGAGGCAAAGCACTGCTTTTGTTGGTAGTGATGAAGAGAAGGAGCAGAAATACAATCCAGACTGAAGGTGGGGTGCAGGGACGGACGGTGGCTGGGCTGCAAACAGAGAGACAAAGGTAGAGCAGGTGGGAGGGGAAATAAATGGAGCCATGAAAAGCAGAGAGGTGCAGGCAGAAGAGATGCGGGGTGGATCAAAGCATAGACATGTTGGTGAAAATAACAAGCTGAGTCCTCGTAAGAACATGGCTAAATATGTAAAGAACCAGCTGACTAACTCACTTTACAAAGGATTTGGCTTCAGAAGCAACCCATGAAGAAGTAAAGAGATGCTGAAGTAGGTTAGGGTAAAGCAGCTGGAGCAGCAAAGTATGAGGTGAAGCAGTGAGAGGCCAGGTGTGAGGGGATCATTATGGAGTTTAAAACTGAAAACTGTTATTGCTAAATATAAATCCATCATTAAAACCGTAAAGTACAAAAACAAATAATTACAGTTCAGTTCTCTGAGATAAAGCTTGCAAAATCAGGAGCTTTGCTCAAGAACAACAGGTATATCACACACAGCATATGTCGGCGTCTTACTTTAGGTGGAGCTTCATCACACCCTCCTGAGTCCCAAGAGACGGTGACCTGCCGCCTCATCTCCATCCTGCTCCTCTCTTTCTGCTGGATCTTCTCCTCCTCTAATATAGTGCTGGAAGCAAAGAGGAAAAATAAATGAAGGCATTTAACAAACACAAGGCATCTGATCACCTAAACACAGTATAGATGATCAGATACACTGCATGTAAATTAGAGCAGAAGGAAACAGTTTAAAATTTTCTAAACAGATAATTTTACTTTAATTGATTAATTCTCAGATTCCAATACAGAAACTTTGCAATCTTATAATATGCTGTTGGAACAAAAACATTAGAATAGGGAACATTAAAATGAAATGCAAATTCTAGCTTGGAAATATAACTTCTGCCAACAAACCCAGGTCTGGTCATCACAGCAACATCATCAGCTAGATGCTAAAAGAAGTCTCCAAAATAGTTAATTATTATTAATGACCATGAAAAGAACCTCCCACCTACTGTGTAGCAAGGAGGAGGAAGTGTTATGGTTTGGCTATGCTATACTGTCATAGGATAGGTATATTCATTATTTAAAACCCTCGTAAATTCCAGGGAAATAATAGATATTATGTAAAAAAACAAAAAAAACAAAAAAAAACAGAACACTGAAACGAAAAAATAAAAAGACAGGATAATGACCTAAAACGTCACAGATGTTCAAGAGCAGAAAGTTCTGGTTACAGCCCAGGTCTGGATATTTCTGAGACCCTGTGGGGCAACTTGAAACAGGCCGCTTATGCAAGAGGGGGGCAAACTTTGCTCAGACGGATGCCAGAAATTAAGTCTACTATTGGAGGTGTTTCAGTCACGTTATTTCTGCCAGAGGAGATAAAACCAGCTTCTAAATTATTCCTATGATAGAAATGTGTTATTTCTAATAAGCAAAACAATAAAAAATATATATAATATCAAATATCTATACATGTACATCTGTGCATCCCCATCTACGTCACATATACATCTCTTAAAGAAAAGTACACTACAGTACTGGATTTAAATTCAGAATTCAAGTTTCATTTGCAGCACTTCCAGGATCTCTGTTGTGATGCAGCAACAACTTCCTTACAGTCACAGTTCCTCACTCAACATAAGCTGACAACCGATAAGGCTTCTGTGCTTTGAGTACAAGTAAACTTCCATGTAAGCTGCAGCAGTAAGTCTGTCAGGAAAATTACTCAAGAACTCACTGATTCCCGTCAAATGAAGAAACATCCCACGCCGTCTTATCCAGCTATTTCAGGCCACATGAAGAAACGTGCTCAGTTTAAATTAGTCACAGTAACTTCGTTCCAGGAAAACTGAACCTAAAGTACCTCAAACCCTCAGACGAAAGGAGTTCTACCCGACAACTCTACCCACAAACCGACCATTGATACAGACTCATGCCATCCACCTACTCTCACAAAGGGAGCGAGATATTTCTAGCAGCCCGCTGGTCCAATTGTCTCCTCCTGCGTATTTGTGTGCTGCACCACCTGTCCTAGTTCATCTCCTGTCCAGCCTTTTCTTCCATCCCATCAGAACTCAAGTCACTCGATTTAGTGCAACTAAATCACAAGGCAGCATTTTAGCTAAACGGCACTGAATGCATGAGTTATTCTAAAATAATCAGTACAATTGTCTATAATTAGACATGAAGAATTTAACCAACTAGAAGATCCCATTTATCATTTTTTTTTTACTTTACAAACAATAAAAATGTCTACCGAGGGTTTATTCCAGTAGGCTTCCACTAATGTTACCCCTGGAACGACACTGTTCAAATATAACTGTATTGTCTGATCTAATAATGAAAACTCTTTAGCCAATAAAACTAAATAAAGAAAGAGAGGGTTTCTGTAGGTCATGTGTGTGTTTTTACAGATCAGAAGAATATTATGTAATTTCTTTGTGCTCAACATGTTCATCCAGGTGTTATTTCCACAGGCTGATTTGCACATCAAAAAATATAACAGGTCAGCTTCTCTTTATTCACCTTCTAAAACCCACACATGATGATGATACCATCAGCAGCACCTGGCAGCGTTACCACACACAGCCACCCCCACCCCGCCGCCCCGCTCCCATCTACAGCCCACAGGCACCTGGAATAACAAGGCTTCAGGTCAGTTTGTTGACTCAGGGTGGGCTGACCTGACTGCTCAGTTTTAGGGTTTTCCACAAGTGGTTCAACATATCTGAAAGACTTGGAGGTTTCTAAATTAGCGTCAGCATGGCAGCTATACAGATATATTCAATTTAAATCAGTTTGGTAAATAAAAACACCAATCAATTAAAATCAACTATCGCTGCATAAAAGCCAGATTATAAAGCTAAATAAAGAGGAAAACCAAACTAAGGAGTCTGTGAAAGACCAAAAAACAACGAGGAACAGAGTGTTCTTCTAGTCTTTGTCAGATCATAAACTTCTCTAATCCTTTGTAATCCAACACTGTCAGACCATTGACTGCCTTTAATAAGTCATCGGTTACAATGGAGAAATAAAATTAAAAAATGACTCATTTTAATACCAATTTAAATCATAATTTCAAACTAAAAATCTTCTGTCTCTAATCTATGCCATAAAACATCAAAAAAAAAAAAAAAACTTTGGCGGGAAATAAAAATCTATGTACCGGTAGTTTTCTTTAAATAATTTTTTTTTTTTTTTTTTTTTAGTACATGCATGAAGTGGGTTTGTTAGGAGGACTAAGACCTGCAAACCGCTTTGGTTCAACCCATAAAGGAGCAGATTATGGGAGTGGCCGTAAAAGAAAGAAGAGGTTTAAAGTCATGGAGATGGAGACTATAACGATTATAAAAATAAAAAAAAACTTTTAGCCATTCTAAAAGAGCTAAGAAAAAAAGTAAAAGAAAATGAACACAACCTTGCTTAGTGTGTGTTTATGTTTTATTAAGCAGAGAGAAAAAGAATATCTGTTGTGAAGAGATACATAGTAAAGAGATTGCCGTCCAGCTGCATTAACCTGTGCTGCCTATAGGTCATTTTTTTCTTCATTAACATATTGTTAATTCAAGGTGCATACATGTTTACATCTGCACAGAATCTCACGCCACTCTTGCATTTTTGAGTGTCTGTTTTCCACCTGCCTCTCAGAAATACTAAAAGAGACTGCAGCCAAAGTTGAGTTTAAGATTAGGAAAATTGCTTTGCACTTAGTAAATGTTTATCCATTGCTTCCACCAATGAATTGGCAATGTTTGGTCATTAGAGTGTGATCTGCATAGTTACATGATCTTGGTTTCTGTTCCCTGTTAAGTTCTAACTATTGGCAGACAGCAAGTGTTAAAACACCCGACACACACGTCAGCCTAGCACCAAAGATTATTGTGGTATCTGCTGAGCGCAGCATGTTTGGAGAGTACAGCCAGAGAATACAATCTTCTCAGAATTTCAGCCAGACCACAATAAACATGATCCCTTTTAAGTTGTTCTCAAGTGGACATATCAGGAATACAGAGTGATTTCACCAGAACAAGCTGCAAACGTAGCCCAAACGCAAAACACCTCATCCTCAGTTTTTCCTTTTACTCTGACAGAAAATAAAATGTCTAATGTTATATTAGAGAGTAGATGTTAGTAAAGGGGGAGGTCTGTATCTAATTTACAGTAAAATCAAGGAGAAACAGACCAAAAACACACAATAAGCTAAAGAGAAAAGAAAAAAGTGTGGAGCAGGAGATTAGATGCAGAAAGTTAAGAGTCTATTTTTGGGAAAAGGAGGCAGAATTGCAGGCGTGAGTAACGCGCCTTTTTAAACAAAAATATAAAACACGGTGAGTTCAGAATGCACTTCTTTTTTCCTGTTTCTGTATCCTATAGAAAAGAAGGAAGTGAGAAGGAAATAGGAGAATGTGTCTGCCAAAGGAAATAATAACAGCATCTGGATGCGTTGCCGCTTCAGCAGATTCATACCCCATAATATTCAGAAGGTACTGTACAGTAACAACATGCTTCAGATAGCAACAATATAAAAAATAATCATACTTTACAGAATATCTCATTTTACCCCCAAATTAACCTACCTATGCTTTTNAAAACTTTTAGCCATTCTAAAAGAGCTAAGAAAAAAAGTAAAAGAAAATGAACACAACCTTGCTTAGTGTGTGTTTATGTTTTATTAAGCAGAGAGAAAAAGAATATCTGTTGTGAAGAGATACATAGTAAAGAGATTGCCGTCCAGCTGCATTAACCTGTGCTGCCTATAGGTCATTTTTTTCTTCATTAACATATTGTTAATTCAAGGTGCATACATGTTTACATCTGCACAGAATCTCACGCCACTCTTGCATTTTTGAGTGTCTGTTTTCCACCTGCCTCTCAGAAATACTAAAAGAGACTGCAGCCAAAGTTGAGTTTAAGATTAGGAAAATTGCTTTGCACTTAGTAAATGTTTATCCATTGCTTCCACCAATGAATTGGCAATGTTTGGTCATTAGAGTGTGATCTGCATAGTTACATGATCTTGGTTTCTGTTCCCTGTTAAGTTCTAACTATTGGCAGACAGCAAGTGTTAAAACACCCGACACACACGTCAGCCTAGCACCAAAGATTATTGTGGTATCTGCTGAGCGCAGCATGTTTGGAGAGTACAGCCAGAGAATACAATCTTCTCAGAATTTCAGCCAGACCACAATAAACATGATCCCTTTTAAGTTGTTCTCAAGTGGACATATCAGGAATACAGAGTGATTTCACCAGAACAAGCTGCAAACGTAGCCCAAACGCAAAACACCTCATCCTCAGTTTTTCCTTTTACTCGGACAGAAAATAAAAACGAGTCAAATGCCTAATGTTATATTAGAGAGAAGATGTCAGTAAAAGGGGAGGTCTGCATCTAATTTACAGTAAAATCAAGGAGAAACAGACCAAAGACACACAGTAAGCTAAAGAGAAAAGAAAAAAGTGTGGAGCAGGAGATTAGATGCAGAAAGTTAAGAGTCTATTTTTGGGAAAAGGAGGCAGAATTGCAGGCGTGAGTAACGCGCCTTTTTAAACAAAAATATAAAACACGGTGAGTTCAGAATGCACTTCTTTTTTTCCTGTTTCTGTATCCTATAGAAAATAAGGAAATAGGAGAATGTGTCTGCCAAAGGAAATAATAACAGCATCAGGATGTGTTGTCGCTTCAGCAGATTCATACCCCATAATATTCAGAAGGTACTGTACAGTAACAACATGCTTCAGATAGCAACAATATAAAAAATAATCATACTTTACAGAATATCTCATTTTACCCCCAAATTAACCTACCTATGCTTTTTAGCACACAATGAGAAAAAAAATCCAAAACAAAGCAACATATTATCTGAATACGGTGCACTCCTGGACTTAAGTAGCAACATAGAAAGATGCAGCTTAAATGAGAAGCATGTTCCCAGGTTTGACAAAATATAACAAAAAGCTCCAAAAAACAGGAAAACATCTTTTTTTTAATATTCAGCTTCACTGTGCGAGACTAAAAAGCTAATAATACTTTTTATCCAGCAATTTATTGAAATGGTCCAAAACCACCTGGAATAAAGTAAATATAAAAAAAAAAAAAATACAAACATTTCACTTTGAATTTCTCAAGACAGACATTTCCTTATTTCATTTCCCATTAGAGAAGTGGCACAGATGATAGATCATTTCCAAAAACTGCAGGTCTTTACATGCCATAGATATGTTTACTCGTTGACTAATTGTGGCTGGAAAAGCTCAGCTCTCACTGCACTGCATCCAAGACTGCCTATAGAAAAATATTAGCAGCAGCAAAGATCGGGGTCCCAAGCAAGACATTCTAAAACCACAAGTACTGAAAACACTGACTTTATGATCCTCTGTTAAATTGTTCTGCTCCTTCTGCATCAATAGTGGTAAGAATTTTTCAGATTTACCAATTACCTTACATTTACCAATTTAAGAAAAAAAAGGTTAATTCTTGTGCAATATCTGATTTAGACTGGGCATTTGTTTTATTGATCTATAAAAACCATAAATATAATACAACATAATATATATATATATTTTTGTAATAAGTTTTTCTTTTAACAAGTTTTCAAGACATCCAGGAAAAAGTTTTCAGACTGGTTTCTGCAGCTTGGTGGCCATGTGACCTGGTCCACATAAAGCAGCTGAAACTATAATGTTTAAGAGGAACTTTAACTGGAAGGGCGATAATAAATGTTATCAACAAAAAGATGGATGAGTCATATCAAATAAACATAATAAAGTTAGTCTGGTAGGTACAGAGTATTGCTCCAAATATCCAGTTAGATGTGTATCCTAAAAAAAAACAAAATATAAAGCAATAAAAATGTATTATGACTTAATATTTCTGCAGCTTAAACATTTTGGAACTAGATTGGAAGTAATCAGTTAGGGGGCAATTAACCCTCATCAACCCACTGCTAATTTCAGGCATAGTCCCTTTTATGGATTTCTAAACACTATTTAGAGGGTAAGTGAGAATTTTTGAGGATTGCATGCATTTTTAAGGTAGCAGAGAACAGTTAAGTACTTAGCAAATCATTATTTAAAAAAAAAGTCTGATGATCAAACAGTGACAAAGGTGAGTCAGGCTTTGACATCAAGTCTGTTATTCATTTTAAATCATATCTAAATATAATAACTGCTGTCATGCTAGGCTTTGGTCGAGTAGTTTGTAGCCTGACAAACTTTTTTTTTTAAGTTTTCTGTACCTTGTGACAGTATTTGAGTCACAAACATGTTTCCCTTTTCCTGTAAAGAGTTACTATGCAGCTCACTGAGTAGGGTTTACCAAACATCTCACAACATGCATAGGATGTGGTATGTGGACTGAAAAGGTTCATTTCCAGGTAAATGTAGTAAAAAAAAAACATTGATGCATCATTGCATATGAAGGTAAAGCATGTCCCAGGGTTCATAATTAAACCTCCAACATCACTAAAGCTTTGTTACTATTCCAGCGATAATGCCATTAAAACATACTCTCAGTTCAGTGCCGTTTGTGTGTTTCTGCTTAGTGAGTAAATCCTGAGCACCAAGATTTAAGATTATTGCAGACAACTTAAAGACTCTTCAAGTTACAGTCAGCTTTAACCTGAGCAAGAATCCTCTGTATGCCATTCTGCTATAAAAAAGAGCCACGTGTGCCTTCATAATGTTATTAAATGGAAAACAGACAAAGGAAACTAGTGGGTTTTTAACTTATAATAAGCCTCTTAAGGACAACCTTAATAATGTTAAACATCAGCATTTTGCCATTGCTGGAGAGACCAAATTATATTTTAAACTTTATTAACTAAACCAACAATGCGGTAAAAACAAACCTCATATAATTTCTGACTATTGTATAAGACCGCAAATGCTTTAAATCTATAACAGAGATGATATGCACAGCTTATAATGTTTAGATAAAACATGCGAGACAGGCTTCATCTCAACAAGAAACATCTAAGATACATAAAGAGTTTAGTATATTTAGAGTTTCTTTATGTTAATCTCTGACACTGCACTGACCGAGGGCGACACCTGCTGTTAGGAGAATGTCAGATGCTTGGTTTAGTCATAAACATTTCCAGCGTTTCTTTGCTCAGCAGCTAATTGCTCATTACGCCATAACCATATCTTTGGAAAAATTTGTAAATTTTGATTTCAAAGGACATCTGACGGAAAAGGACGACTTAAAACTCCAAGATCAACTCCTAACTTTTTAATTTCTTATAATCTCTTTGATGAGAGACTGAAATAACGTTAATAAAGGTCAGTTGCTCATACAGATGCATCAACAATTACTCATCATCCTTTTTTATTACCAAAAAAACCCCCCAAAAAAATCCAATCTGTACTTTGACATACGACAACCACTATTACACCAATTTTCTCAAAGTTTCTGTAAATTGACTTTGGGACTTTTCATGGCCCTATGATGACTTCAATTTAAAACCTCTATGAAGAACAATAATAACTTTTAACACCTCTTTTTTCCTTTACCCAATAACAGAAGTTGCAGTTTTCAGGCACTCATCTGTGACTCTATGTGCTTTAACTTAATGCCAACAATTTAAAAAGGGAAAACCAATGCCATCAACTCACTTAAAAAACAAACAAGCAAAAGCAAGTATGTTAAAGAGCAAAGAATGGAAATGCAGCACATCATTTTCATTTAGTGAGCTTAACTTCCAAATAACACAAACAGACCCTCAACAGAAGCGTCCTGAATCAGAGCGCCTTCAGTTAACAAATAGGTTTTTCCCATGCAGCTGATCATAGGCAAACATTACGAGCAATAAAAGGACTCGTCCCACAGCAGAAACATTTACCTAGACGGTGCTTATCTACACGCTAAACATTCAGCTGCATAATTCAGAGAAAAAAAACTTGATAATCCAACAGAATGCAGTACCTGAGTTGTGTTTTAAGTTCATTGAAGCGCGGCCTTTTGCTGGGATCGTAGGACCAACACTTCGTCATTAGGCTGTAAAGGGTAGGGGGGCACTGAGGGGGCATGGCAAGGCGCTCGCCGTTCTCTATCCTGCCAATGACGTCGTTGTTCTTCACGCCCTGGAAAGGCTTGATGCCGTACATCAGGATCTCCCACATGCAGACGCCTGTTGACGAGCACAAGACACCAAGAGACTGACTGTGAAGGCAAGCTAACTGTGAAATTTAACAGCTTCAAACTGGAAAAAAGAAAAGAGGAGACAGCAGCTTTAAGCATACCAAACATCCAGACATCACTGGCTGTAGTGAACCGTCTGAAGTTGATGGATTCTGGAGCCATCCATTTAATGGGCAATTTACCTTTAGATGCTGCAAAAGAGGAAGGAAATTAGATTTTTACTTAAGGCTTAATAACCAAAGAACAGTTTTTTCAGATGGACTCAAAAGAGCAATAGAGAAAAAAAAAAAAACAACAACGTCAAACTGTTGATTTAGTTGAATTAGTTACCTTTATAATACGAGCTGTCCTCCATGTATCTGGAAAGACCAAAGTCCCCCAGTTTTACACAGTCCACTGTGGACACCAACACATTTCGTGCTGCAATATCCCTGAAGAGGACAACAACAGCAGCAGCAAACTTAGGTAGATAGAAGAGTTTTATAAAGATGCATTTCAATATTTAACCAAATATTTGGGTTCTGGTGCTTAGCAGTAAAACAGGACTTATGTCCCTCGGGAATTGCCTTTAGTATAGGATTACTACAATGCTACTCTTTGTACCTGTGTACGAAGCGTTTGCTCTCCAGGTAAGCCAGGGCTGTGCTCAGCTGGAAAGAGTACAAGATGAGAGTGGCCAGATCCAGACTGTACTTCCTAACCTGGAGGAACGACCTCAACTGTGGATGACAGAGAGAAAACCACAGAAAAGGGTCAAAACAAAAAGCTGAAACAAAACAAACGACTAGAAATATAGGTGAGAATGAGAGATCCTCTGAGTGCATATAGTTCCTTGTGAAAATGCCAGGGTTTTTATGTTTTTTTTTTGTATGTAGAAATATGGGACCACGGTGAATCGGTTCAACAAAAAAGTAGCACTTTTTTCCTTCGAAAAGATTTTTTTTAAAGGTGATTATGAAAGTAAATATGTCACTGAAATGTCTTTAAAGATTAATCAGCTATTGCTTTTTAAGAAGCTTCACCATAAACAACAGCTAATAAGACATTCAGAATTACTTCCAAGTTGTTTTTGTGCGAGTATAATGATGTGATCTTCCATAATAACACCAGATCATTTGATTTTTTTTAAACTATTCAAACCCAGATCTCCATCAGCAACAATCTGTTCAGTAAGGCTCAAAACCAGTGAACACAGGCTGGAAAAGCAGCAATATTTCAGTTTCCTACAGGCAATGGAGATGACCTTTAACCCCAAAATAATAAGTGCTTTCATAAAAAAAAAAAAAACAGCTCTTTTTGTTTTTCTTTTACTCCATCCATCCATCCATCCATCCATCCATCCATCCATCCATCCATCCATCCATCCATCCATCCATCCATCCATCCATCTGTTCAGCATCTTTGTCGGTCACCTGGATTTAGATAGAATATGCAGTCCATTTAATACTATTAAATGATTACAATGGTTTGTGTACCATACAAGCAAGAACCCCGATGTCTATCAAGAGAATATGTATCCATTAAATAGGAGACTCATTCTTATATGACTGGAATAATAAAAACTGTTGTGAGGTGGAATTTTCTATTTTAACAAAACATTTTCTTGCCCAAAAGTCTTTGCCAAAAAAAAAAAATAAAAAAAGACCTCAGTTTACTTTGCTGATAACAGTGAAAAATTGAAACGTGGCGCGTTCCATGTGTAATTTAGCAATACTGAAATATTGAACTGAGTCAGGCATGCAGTACAGATTTGGACATCTTAATCCATCTAAGACCAGATGGACCAGAAACGAACACTCACATCGTTCATTTTCTCAACTTAACTTCTGAGGAAAATTAAAAGCCACTGAATGCTTTGATCAGTACCTCCCCGAGCGTGCAGAGCTCCATGATGATCCACACTGGATTCTCTGTGATGACTCCCATCAGCTTCACTATGTGAGGATGGTCAAACTGACGCATTGTCACTGCATAGAGAGCAACAGCCATGGAAATTCAGATGAGTATTTATAGTTGCTATCCCTTAGTAACTAGGAATTACACAGAGGTTTTATCTGGTTAAAGCGTAAACAAGTAAGAATCTTACATGCTTCCTGCAGAAATTTTTCCCTGACACTGTCTGATGTGGAGTTTTTACACGTCTTCACTGCCACAGATAACGCTGGGTTCTCCTGTGTGAAGCAGATATAAACCAGAAAAGAATCAGAAGAGACACTTGTACAATAAAGGCAATCAGATAAAAAACAAACAAGGACTTATTAAAGAGCAAGTATCTGTATACTTGGCCTGGAACCAATCAAAAGATATAAATAAAAGTTACATTAAACTTTTCTATCTTTCTAATCCTAAAGTTTAAAGCAACATTTTGTTTTGACCCAATTATTCCCCTGATTTGAGACATATTAAAATCTGGTCAATGTACATCACTTGGCACTTAAGAATGCACTTAGCAGCTCCTAGATGTAATACTACAATCATTATAGTTGTTTTAGGATTTGAAATGTAAACGTCTTTCACATTTATGAAGCACTAAGCCATGCTAACTGTTTTACTGTGACTCAGCTTAACCAAAATTAAATAAACAACAGTTGTTGTAGAAATATATTAAACCGTTTCACTTTTAAGTGCTATTTATAAGACAAAAGAAAAAAACGAGGGAAAAGTGGCACAAAAAAAAAAAAATGCAGCTATTACACAAATAATGCAAATGAAAAATTTTCACCATCACTTTGAAGAAGATGGAGGACACGTACTTGGCTGATGTAGACTCCTTGATGGACGTCTCCGAACTGACCCTCACCGATGCAGCGCCCCAACTCAATGCAATCCCGCTGAATCTCATAGTCCCGAGCTACAGAAGTTTGCACACATAAACAATACAGACACAAAAAGAAAACAGAAGGGGTTTTATATTATTATTAATATTGTCATACACACTAATATCTAATTACAGAACTTCCACTTTCCAAGCTTGTTAGAGCAGTTTATGCAGTGCATTTATACTGAAGGTAAAATCCAACAATATCTGAACATAAATTAAATAATGCAATATTAATTATATCATTTGGAGACCCAGGTTTGTATTTTCTGTTCATATTTTTTTAAAGCTTTTTTTTTTTTTAAGTTTCTTACTCTGACAAGCTTGGATTTGATTACAGGCGGCATAGCTTATTCTCAGCAGCATGCAACAACAATACCAGGAATGCACAGCGAACCATGCCACATAACACAGATGACTAACAGCCGATAAAACTCAATGTACAGGGGGAGTCAGAAATTTGCACACACTGATGTGGTCATGAATAGCTTGACTTTTAATAATCCATTTGAACTGTTCCTTTTTTCCCCCCAAAGGACCAATTCGGTTAAGTATGACTGTAATTTTGCAGGTACTTATGCAAAACCTATGCAAGAGGACTGTTTTTAAGGCACAACAAAACAACTACTCTTTCACAATAATAAGAAAAATGCTTGCTGTTAAAGTGAGGCTTTTAAACTCAAGAACAGCATCATGCTGAGGGTCTGTTTCACTGCCAGCGGTACTGTTGCACCTTTCACAGCAGGAGGGAAATTATATAAAATGCAAAACTCAGACCGACAACTTTCTGTTTAAAGCTTAATCCTTAAAGGGTTTCAGCAGGACAAGAATTTTGGAGAGGCCAAGACTTTAATCCCAATAAGAAATAAATACATTATATCTTTAATCTCAATTTGAAGCCAAGATACCAGTCAGTTAAAACTAGGTATTGAATAATATTTTAGATAAAAAGAGTAAGAGAGTGTTACCTAGTTGTTATTCCTCTCAACAGTCACCACATGCAAGAACAGGAGGAGGGATTGCTGCAAAGTCAATGCCTCAATGCAGATGGTAAAGCTTCCTTAAACAGGTCACCTTTTTACCCATCAGGCAATAAACAAAACTTGATTGGACTGTTTGATAAGTAGACTAATAAAACTTTTAATTTTTAAATTTTTTTTTCCCTCTTTTTAAATACCTTTTTAAAGGCAATGTTTTTTTAAGGCATTAAGTTTAAACAAGTTCATCATTTTCTCCTTTTTAAAATTAATTTAAGTTGTATTCTGTATCATTGTGAAATTAAAACAGTTCAAATGCATAAATAAAAGCCCAAAACCAAAGCAGTCATGCCCATGACGAGTGTATGTAAAACTCTGACAGACACTTAAAATAAAAACAAGAATTAATAAGCTAATTAATCTATAATACTGATAAAGTCAGGTGGACAGTGCAACAGCGAATCATCGGCAGGAAGAAACGAACTTCTAAGGACCTTGAAAAGGCTTTTGATGTAAATGACTCTTTTTCGCAGAAAACAAGGATTCACACAATGAAAGTCAGGCTGCTGTAAGCTGCCTGACCTGACTTTGACCATGTTATAATCAAATGAATATTAAATGAGGATCTAAATGTCCAGTTAAGGAAATCTCTTCTTTTAGAAAAATTACTGCTGTCTAAATGGGACTTTTCAGGCAGTAAAAAAGCCTGGGGTAATGTGCTAAATGTGGAAATGGGCCATAGCACCCAGAATATAACTGCTTTTAAAGCCACTATAATGGTATCATTATGTTGGTTATTGGTCTGGGTGCCTCATTATCACATGTCTAAATTGATGGATAAATGTAAACTTTCTGCATGCTGAACTTTCCATAATGGAGCATGTTCTAAATAAAATAGCCTGATCAACTTATATAATTATTTTATTTTCTTTATTATTTTATTACTTTATTAATATTATGCTGTTGCACAACAGTGCCACAATTTAACATCACCTTAAGTTGCCATTATATTAATACTAACACTTTTTTTCTTCAACCTATAAAGTGCAAACAAGGTCAACGGCTGGATCCAAGTTGTTAAGCTCTGACCAGCTCAGCGAATAACTAACATCACAACCACACATCAACAAAAAGAGGGAAATAAGGCATAGACGGCAAAATATCAATTCTTATTTTACATTTGCAAGCAAAAATGAAAAGGTCACAACAACCACCAAATCAAAGAGTCATGGACATGGTTCCAATCATTACCTTGATCTAGTCCATAGTATTCTGGGAAAACGGGTTAGGTATAAAGATTTTATTATTTAGGCCAGTATCACAGTGACACATGAGTTAGGAGGGAGGACGACATGCCGATTTATCTTCTAAGGCTTGAGAACATAAAATCAACCTGCTTTAAACGATCATTTCTTTTTATTATAATAGTACTAAGGATTTCTGACATTTAAAGAAAAAGAAGCAAAAAAAAAAAAAAAAAACTTTGCAATTGAAGACTTAAAAAAAAAAAAAACAGTTCACATTTCCAAAAAAAAAACAGTTCACATTTCCTGGTAATTCTCTTTTAAAGCAGCAATGAACTTTATTTCGAGTATTGCACCGGAAGTATTTGTTTTTTTAACTTCTATAATTTTTATACCTTTCTATTTGGGTGTTTATAAGATTAAACCTTGAAGACTTTGGTAGAAGACATTAACTATTGATTTTTGAAAAAGCTAAACAAAAACCATGTCTGGTTGTATGAATACGTCTACAATATTTGGACAACATTTTATGGCAGTTTAAATGGGAACATTTATTTGAATTTAGCAAACTATTCTCAATTTAAATTCCAGCAGATCCCTCTCATGTTGTTTTAAAGTGCACTCACCCATCTCTGCCTCTCAATGTTGTCCATTAAACAATGAACAGACATGAACCAAACATCTAAGCCCAGGGGCCAGGCAGTACACAGCAGCCACAGCAAGCTCTTATTGACCTAGAAGTAACACTTGAGTCTGAACACCAAGGAGAGAGCAGCAGGATACTTGATGCTTGAACGCTACTTGAAAATGTTGGCTATAATTCTAACAATGTGTTATTAAGAAGCTGCTTTTTATTCGTTTTACAGTGACATTTATATAAAGTTTAATGTACAAATATAAAAGTATTGTGTAAGGTAATTTGTGGGAGCAATAATACGCCTTTTCAAAAGTTACATGATGAAGTAACTTTCTACAGTGATAACTGGAAAGATTATAATACCCTACATATTCAAGCAAAGGATGCCCAGCTTTTAAAACCATAGCATATATCTTTTTAGAAAATAATTATTAATCCGATGCAATATGTAACCTTTTTTTAAACAGGTAGATAGCTGTTTAAAAAGAGACAATTCAAGAGCCACTGTGTTTTGACCCTTTAAAAATGGATGAAAAAAAAACAGAGCCGTTTTTGTGGGACAAGCGATAAATCAACAAGGTCCACGCATTTTGGCAGCCTTGACATCCTGTATCATCTATATCTATATAGATGTTTTTAAGACCTGTGATTCAATATGCGTGCAAAAGTTTCACATCCCTGCTGAGTTTTATGTTGCCTCAGACAATAAATCTGTTTGGAAGATTAAGCATACTGAAAATGTACAATTTTCCCCCAAATTAAACCTTTCTTTGATGGATCTGGAATAGAAAGTGTCTCCAGCTCCACAGGCTTCTCTGCAGTCAGTGGAAGGTAAGGAGAAGAAAAAGAAATACAGGAGATGGCCCACATTTAGGGACAAAACCTAAAGCCTAAAAGGTCAGACTTACAGTGGCTGGACACGGCCAACCTACATATCCATGTGTTTGGGAAGCTCAAGCAGCATTTGATATAGGAAAAAGCAGTGTTTAGATATATTCACACAAAAAAGATTCCCAGTAATTCTATTATAAAACCGATTAAATCGCTGTTTTTTATTCTGCACTTGTTTCCATCTATAGATACCATTCCATAATTTTGAGTGGAGTCACATTAATCTGCCATTTAGGCTACAAAGATAAACACAGCTTCCGCCGTCCCCAGCAACAAGGCTATGTGCAATTTAAAAGTGGAATCTGATCTCCATGTACACATTGTGTGGTTTTTACTGTTTTTGTTGTTGCTGGTTACCTCTTCGATTCCTAATTCAGTCAAAGCTCTTAAAAAAGCAGACTGCAGATTTTACAATGTGGTTTTCCTCTTAAATCTGAAGCCAGTAGTTACTGGTTAGGACCCAGATTTCTCTTCAAAATAGTTGAGCCCATGTTAGTTATAAAGTGATGAACAAATTATTAATTTAAGTTCTAATTAAATGTTGCTAAAATCACATTGTTATTTCCTGATTTTACTGAATCACTGATGAGATTCTAACCTAAAATCTCAACAATACATAATAAGTTAAATAAATCCACCGTAAACTTTCAAAATGAAAGTTTTACTACTTCCGATACAACACAGAAATATCTGTATTCCTCCTGTTTGTTCCAGACCTCTAAATCATCATATAGAAACATCATATTTAACAGTAACATTTAAGAGGAACGTCTACTTACTTGAAGGCATGGTGTAGGTGTCCTCCTCATCTATGATCTCAGCATAGTCATCTGTTTCTGCATAATCAGAGTCCAGTTAGGAACCAGAACCAAAAAAATGTTGAATGGTTAGTTACAAAGTAACAGAACTTAACTACATAGTATTTCTACTTTGCATCTTCAGGGTAAACATCCCTGACTAAACACAAAGGAAAACATGCAGCACAACTATACGTCTACTCATACATACATATACGTATTTGTTAGCAAAATGAGAAAAAACATCAGAAATCTGCTGAGATTCCCACGTACCTTTCAATAAGACATTTTAGATACTAATATGTACCCACAGAGAATGAATCTTTGTGGTAAGATAGTGAGGGAAACATGCAGAGAGAGACCACCAAGAGGAAAGGGAGGCTTGAAAGTGTTTTCCTTTCCACAGAAACAAACTGCATGAAAACAGTCTGAGTCATAGGCCACCAAAACACTCAGAGGCAGAAAAGATCCCGCTAACACTTACACAGCGCTAAATCCACAGACCGTTTATTGTTTTACTAATTAAAAGGACGTTTAATACAAATAATGAGTTTACCATCGCCACTAACGTGACCTGCAGAAGCCGCAAGCAGCATAAAACACAAACAGAGAGGAGCAAAGAGAACAAAGTTTTAGCTTTATAGTCAACAGGAGAAAAAAAATTATAGCATAATAATCATTTTCTGTGGTATTCAGGGTGGTTTCACTTTAAACTGTAAATGTGAATGGGTGAGAGGTCAGGGGAGAGTCAGAAAGCAGAAACAGAGTGGCAGTGACTAAAGCTCTCCAGGGAGACATCTGCTGAGACAAGGACTGTTCTCTGCACACACAGAAAAGGCTATATGGACGATTCTGGCATCAAACACATATCTATGCTCCCTTTACGCAACTGGGATTGGCTCATTCATGACATTTAAGGAAAAGTGAATCAACTGGCAGGGATGTTATACCTGACACACAAACGGCCCGGGTGCGTACTCCGTCCATCCGCTTCTCCATCCGCTTCTCATGATTGGAAACTCTGCAGCAGAGAGTTAGCTTGCATTAAAAATACTGCATACAATGTGAACAGAGATACGGTTAAATCTAGGGTGTAAAATGAACCAAATTGGAGTTCGTCTATTCAAATTCTTGTTCAATGAGTTGAACACATAAAAAAAAATAAATTAAGATGGAAAAATAAACTCAAACATTATGTCTTCATTATAAATAAAAAAAAATTATAGAGATGGCTTTAAAGATTAGGTGAAGTAAATGGCCAACAAAAAAAAAACAAATTTAATTTACATTTAACTCCAACTTTTTAACTTAACATTTAAAAATGTTAAGTTAAAACAATATTTAATTCAAAGTGCAACTTTAGAGGCACTTTCAGTAAGTCTTTAAGGGGCTTTACAATCCCAGAGGCTGCTGTTATCCTTTTCACTGTATGCATTAATTTATTCCCTAGCTTTTCCTTCAACTTAACTTTTTTGCAATAGTTATATCTTTATATGGAGAGCTTTTTAGCCACACCCTTTTATTACTCAACAAAATATGGATGGTGTCAATAACTCTCTGCTTTAGAGGCAGGACTCTCTCTCTCATTACACCCTTGGCCATAATATAGCATAACATTTTTATATTAAAAGAACTATTTGTTGGTGTTAAGTTACTTAATTTTTTTTTTTAGACACTAGATTTAATGTTTTTATTAGCCAGAATCATTTAAATGAGCAGAAAAATTGGGATGTTTCTCTGAGATGCATTTGAACCATAAAAAAGTCGGGGTACTCACTTAGGTATTGAAGGCAGAGCTCTGTCTCCCTCTGCAAAGATGGAAAAAACACAGCAACAAGTGTGAACAAGCTAAAGCAAAAATCCAAACTTGACTGTTGTTCTTCTAAACCTTCACTACTTGCAGAAAAGGATAAAGCATAAAGGCTGGTTATCATTCATAGTGAGAAACCAGGGCTCCCCAGTATGACAATGACATCTGTTGGAGGGTTCTGCGTTTTACACAATACACCTTTTTTTTTTCCTTTCATTTTTTGAAACCAAACCAAAAAAAAAAAAAGGCACAACAACAAAAATACTAAATTCTGTAGTTATTTAACATACCTTTATGGACTCTGACAATGAAGGAGCGAGTGACCGCAGAGACGAGACGACAGTAGCCGTCAATCAAGTCAGCCATGTTTTCTGCTGTGTTCAGCAAAGCTGTAGTGACAGTGAGGGGCTAGAAACATGGAGAGAGACAGAAGGATCAGTGTAAGAGCAGGACAGGGAGCTGCTTCATGATGACACAATGAGAGCTTCACTGATAATAACGTCCCCCACCAGAGTGCGAGCACTCAGCCCTGTGCCAGTACTGCAGCAGTGAAGCACGCATGTAGCATCCGGCTGCACAAACACACACTCAGAGGAGATGGCAGAGACTCCGGGCTCGTCTCTCAGTGCCGTTTCTTAATTATATTTGCCCTGTTTGGTTTTTTTTGTTTTTCTTCTAAACTTCATACAAGAGGAACCAATTAAATTTTAGGGGTTTTGAAGTAAAAGTGCCATGTTAAATAGAAAGAAAAAAGCCATAATAATTATGTTAGAGACATTAGGTACATTTTTACTGTAAAAAATCT